CCTTTCTTCCTTTCTTCCTTTTCCTTTCCATCCTCCAACCACCCCTGCCTTCCTTTCTTTATTCCTTCTTTCTTTCCTTCCTTCCTTTCTCTTATTTTTTCTTTCTTTCCGTCTATCCGTCCTCTTTTACCCACACCTTCCTTTCAGGGTCACRGGGGTCACTGGTGCCCGGATCCAAACACATAGAGACAAAAAAGACAAACCATTCACTCTCACTCACATAGGGACATTTTTTTTCTTTCCTCCCCTATTTTATTTTTGAATTCCTTCCTTCTTGAATGAACAAACCAACAAACAGAAAAAACAAATTAATAAAAGCTTCTGTTTCATATTAAATATGTTAACTCTTAATAAACAAATCAACACAAACTATTCTTGAATAAATGTAACAAACTGTGTTTTWATCAATGATATAATGTTGTTAGTGTAAAATAAATTGCAAACAAATTCCTTGTCAGCATGGCAGTTTTTTTCTCCTGATTGTATTTACTGTATGTATTTTTTTTTCATTTTTTGAGCGATTTGATGAYAAAGATGAGTTCATTGGTGTTTGGTGTATACTGAACAGACTTGAATGACTGGACTGCCTAAATATTGGTTTCTTGTATCCCTGCCTGTTCCTGACAGCGTCTGTTCAACAAGACTTTGAGCTTCCTCCTCAGTAACTTCTTCACATTTTTGGGATTTAGTTTTGAGGTATTAACATAASTGAATCTTTGGACGTTATTACAAAGGGGTTAACTTCACAAGTCCAACAGAAGGTGAATAAAAGTTGAAGTCCAGGCAGGTCATTTCTTCATTTTGATGATCACCATTAACTCATCATTGAGAAGAAGACAATACAATAAAAAACRTAAATTAAACCAACATCCATGCATGTGCTGCTTTTATTTCTTTGTCCTTTTTTCCTTCAATACTGCTTAAATCGATTCAATTGTCCCCATAAATGCTGTTTTTTATGCATTCTAGACATGAAATGAGCTGCAAAACCCCAAGACTTCTTTGTTTGAATACCTGTAAAGGTCACAAGCAGCCCTGAAGGAATACATGCCTGTTTAACTTATCTGCTCCATTTTTTTAACCAAGGCAATGATCTGTCTTATACCTTTCACTGTCAACTCATTTGTCTCCCCTAAAAACGGAAAATAAAATATTAAGTGAGAGAAATGTTGCTCTTTGTGTTTCAGGTATCACAGGTGCAAGTATGAGTTTCCTGAAATTGTATCCATGATCTAGATTGTTGGGAAATTTGTTATTTATTCAAACTGAGCAAATTCTTGGTTTTATTTCAGCACTAATGATTAATATCTCCTCGTTCATCATTCAGATGTCAGGATCTTGAAGAAAAACCTCAGGATTCAGTTCAGTTTTTGCCGTTAGTTCATAGTGAGGTCACYGAAAAGGGTGCAGTGGAGGTTAAAGTGATGCAACTCTTCATTCGAAAAGGATTCTCGTCAGGTTTTTGGGATCCTGTTTTCCAAGACAAACAAMATTTTGTTATGTAATAATCTCATCTTACCTCTGAGGCTCTTCCTTGTATTTTTACCCCATTTTTTTGGTCGTATCCATMATTTCCCTCCTTCTGTTTCCAACCTTTCTGCATTTTGTTTTGTTTTTCCTCCACATATCAGTTTACGGACATGTATTTTTTCCTAAAGGAATAAGGCATCCTTCTCGCTC